GCACTAGTCCATGAAAAAGTCACAAAAAAGTTAAAGCATCTGTGATCGACTGGTATAAAACGTGAGTTCTGTTGTGTGCCGTTGTGTCCACTAAGCAGCAGGCACGATCGAATAGTTAGTTTTTCTCCTTTTTCCTTTAGATGAGGAGGTGACAGCAGTGGATCATAGCATTACAGGGAAAACTTATCTTTAAAAGCTCACGCTTGCGTTTGTAATCGGCATTTCTAACCTGAGGATTTTCAAGAGAAGAGAAATCATAATCAATCAATAATTCAAATCAATCAATCATCATCTTCTCATCAGAAATGAGAAGACGGAGGTTATAAAAAGGAGATGTACATTTATCCCCTTTTACTGCCAAGACRAGAGAGGAAAGACCTCCTTCACACACAGCAGCCGGTACAAAGGTAGGTGTGTGTGCGATTGTGTTATATGAAATGTTTTTATGTGACTTTGTCATGARTTCTATGCAAAAGTAAAACCTTATTAGAGTGTATATTATAGCGTAGACTAAAGCCGAGTGACGAGCCCTCCCAGCATCAAGAGCAGCAGAACCTCCGCCTGATAATCATTACGTTTTCAGTTCACTAACGTCGGGGAAAACGATCCAAACCTTACAAGTAGCCCATCAATTTAAAGCCCAGACTCTGCTCTTTCCAACAATATAAGTGTCACAGCTCTACGTGAAAAATTCACAGAACAAGCAGCCAAGGAATAGTGAAAAAGGCTAAATTCTGAAACCATAAAAACGAACGTCTTTCCTTTGTTTTTATGGTTTTAATCCACTTTGGAGTGATTTTTTTCCACTTGGCTGRACCTGTACGTCTCCTGTGTTAATGTTGGTACATGTAATATGTTAATTATGTACTGTGGAGATCATTAAGAGTCGTTGTCTGATGAAAAAATCTTGAAGTGCTGGKAGTGGCATCCAGTGCTGGGCCCGATGTCCATGGCATATAGGCTATTTGAATTGTTGATTGTTTTTTTCAAGAACCTTTGTGTAAATTCTRAATGTGAACATGCTTGTGATTCCTTGTGAGGAAGACAAATAGAATCTCTCTTGATAAGAGCACACTGAATAAAGGATAGTCTTATCTTATTTAATATGTGCTTGTCTTGTCAACACATTTTCATAAAACTATTTATGATCATTTAAATAGAAAAACAATGCTTGATCTTATCATTTGGACAAAACAAATCAATGCTGATTTTGAATTTTAAAGCAAACAGATGTCTGCAAGCTCTCACTTCACCACAGATTACTATTGGTTAGGCTTTTCAATGCGAAACTGATGCTACTTAGTGATTAAACTTTTACTTTTCAATATGATAAGGATATTTACAAAACAAATAGAAAGCTCATGCAGTTTATCACGTCTAGCTGGGTTTTGCCTACGTGTTTTTCTTGTCTGTCTGTGCACCCCACCCCCCAACAATAGAGACCATTTGGTTTAACGCAAGCCGATTTACCATATAATAGACAGGATCTTCAAATCAGATATTCACGTTTTAGTCAAAAAGAACTGTTCATACTGTATTTAGAAAAGCCACGTTTTTTAAATTTGCAGTCAGCATCTCAGATTTCTTAAATATCAGCCTTTCCATGACAGATGGCATCACTTTTGTTTTCATCTCAAGTAACGAGTCACAGATGGTAGATGCGTTCAATCACACTTTTAWATTAAATTTAGATAATTCTGAGCAAAAAACAAAATAGTTCTACTATAGTAATATTAAGAAAATCTAAAATAACTAAGTCAAATTAATAAAACTGTATTTACTGATATTCACTATTATTCCGAAATACTAGTTAATATTTAGGAAGTCAGTAATTCGATTACTACAGCAATATATACAATATATTGAGATGTTTTGGATTTCATTAAAATAAGATTTTTCAACAGTCTAAATTATAGCATATAACACTAGGGTGTTTAAGATGTCTGCATATTTTTATTTAGTGTAAAAATACACTTTATATTTGTTCTTTTGACTTGGAGATGTGATTTTTTTCTGCACACATATGTAATCAAGTGATTAAATGTTAAAACGTCTGAAGTTCTGATTATAATTTTAAAATATTTTATAATGCCACAAATGTCGTTTTTCATAATACAAACGCTCTAGAGAGAGACCTTTACTTATAATTTATGAGTACCGGTAGATTGTAAAAAAGGCTATTATGTTTGGAACGTGTGTGATTTTTGAGATATAAAAGCAAAATATCAACGTGAAAAAAAAAATCTAAGTGGATTGTATTATACGACGGCCTGCCATAATACGGGGCGGGAACAAATCCCATCAATTTTGCATTGGGCGCGTGCGCTACGTTTTCTGAGAAAGTTAGCCAATCAGGTGCATGTATGCAGCAAAACCACGCCCGCGCGGCAACGAGTGTCGCGCGCCTTCTCCACCGCATTGTTAGACAGACAAGAAGAGGACTAAAGTTATATTTTCTCTTTGTTCTGTATGCTTTAGGAGAGCTTCATGGACGCCTTGAACGTTTTCTAGTTTTTGTTTATTTGTTTAGTTTGTAGTTATCCAAGAGGAAGCCGTCAGTGAGCTAACCGAGGGAGCTGCGGGCTGTCAAGTGTTTTGAAAACCCAAACTGCTGCAGTGGAGAAGCTCCGCGGGGATTTAAAGTTCCAGCTAATAGCTGCAGCTCTAGCAGGTGGTTCTGTAACAATGTCAGCCGTGTGTCAGCCTCGTCGTGTGCTGGTGGAAATACCCGCTCCACAGCCCAAAATCGCAGGTGAGCCTTATTTCCGGCAGTTTCCTTTTATTTTGTAAAAGTTTTTATTGCACTTTTTTCACTCTTAAGCTTCAGGGCTATAACGCTAACGTTATCACAATGCGCGCGCGCGCCATGCTTTGCTAACAGGCTGTGTAAACATGTTAAAATCATGTTTGTAAAATGAGTTAAACTACCCATCTACAGTTTGTTTGTTCATTTTGTGTTTTTAAAAAGTAGCTAAAAGTAACTACTTTGTAGTTTCTACAGCAGTAAAAAAAAAAAAAAAAAGTCTTTTTATGAAAGTTTGTCATTTTTGCAGCTCAGATGAGAAGATCGTACTTGGAAGTTCTCAGTGCTCGTTTATCCCCAAATCCTCTTCCAAGAGCAAGAAACCTGAACACCAAGCGTGTTAACTCCTGTAAGTATGAAACACTATGTCATCACAGCTTTAAGAAACCATCGTGCTTTCAGTCTCCTCAGTGCTGTTTGTTGTTTTGCATGTAGCTGCATTTACATTTTACACATCTGTCGTTAGTTCAAAAATAGTCAAGTCAACTACCATTTTTTTCTAATGCTGTTTTTGAGGTATGAAGTTTAACAACTAATGATTACCTACTTTTGTTTATTGAAGGAGGAGCCCCATTAATAATTATAAATGCATCAGTTGTAATTTTCCACACCAAGCCCTGTGAGCTCACACACATTAATCATTTCTGGCCGAAACTATTTCTGTTTGCCAGCGTAAACATTCGAGTTGCGCATTCTCATGCAACAGACTGCCCTTGGATATCAGAGAATAAAGCAGATTAGGAGGCAAACATAAAATTGTTAGTAGAAATCTTTTAAGGTCAAAAGTCTGTATTTTGTCCAGTTATTTTGTACTTTTTAAAATATGTTATTATAAATAGACCCTTCTGATTTATTTTTGATCRATTTTACAGAAAGTATCACTTGTAAGTTGCTTAGTTCCAGTCAGCCCTGTCAAACCTGATCCCATTCTTTGGTTTCGCAGTGGACCTGTCGATTGATGGGATGTGGAGAGAAGGAGTGGAGGACCAGTGTGAAAAGACAGACCAACACTCTGCCCAGCTTTCCAAACAGCAGCTTGTTCAGCTCATCAGATCCATCGTTTTAATAGAAAAAGTACTCGACTTGTTAAATAATCCTGACGTGTTTGGACCAAACTGTAATCATTTAGTGCTGATAATTTGGTGCTTCTTCTGTAGAGCCACGAGCCRAGGATTGTGGCGTCAGACCTGAAGTTCCTACAGGAGGATCTACAGCTGAAGAAGGCCAGTGTGTACAGGTCCATACCTTACTCACGGTTTGGCTCCAACAGGGATGCTCACTGTTACAGAAAGGCCTATCCCCACCTGGTGGCATTCAAAGTAAGTGTTAGAGGCTTCAGCTTTTAGGATTATTATATGGAGCACTTTCAGATGTGTTTGAATTGTTTAAACAGCACCTTATTATTTGTGTTCAATCACAGCTCCTTGTCTCAAGGTGTTTGACCCAAAGATTAAACCCAGCCCTTGCAGCATGCCACTGCATGAAAATCCTTACTGCGTTGCTAATATTTGTCCCTCCTCCCCTCAGGTTACATGTCAGGAGTGGGGCCAAGTTCTTCTGAGGAACAAAGAGTGGRACGCTGTGTTGGAGCACTCCCTGATGGCGTGGCGGTACACCAGCGAGTTGCCGCAGTGGGACACTGCGAGCCACAACACGGTGCGAGAGCAGTGCTACAGCCTTCTGGCTGCTCACAGTCTGGCCGCTCTGCAGCAACACCGGCCTGACGCCATCAGGGGAMGTGAGCTGCTCAGGAGGTAACGCTCAGGCTTTTTAATGACATTTCAGCTGTCCTCTCGGAGCACAGTTTGTGTGCCAAAATAAACACTCGGCTAGGTTTAGTCAACTTCAGCAGCCAGGTGCCAACTTCAATATCCAGCTGAACCAAAGCAACACCAACATCCTGCTGGAGTCTAATTTAGGCATTAAATGGTGTAAAAACAGTTCAAACTGAGCTGTTTGTCTCTAAAATGAAAARTGTAAGAATATAATGGATGGGAAACATTTCTGCAGTTCCACTAAGTTGCAAAGTACAACCAAATGTGAGCCATCACRTCGAAACAAGGATTAAGTCTAAAAGTGGTACATGGAGAAATAGGCAAATATAGCGTTTTGATTAAAACACTTAGAAAAATTGCATTTCGTCAAAATATTACAAATAAATGCCTTATCAATGTTTTATTTGAATGAATTGTGTGAAATATAATCATAAAAGGCGGCACGGTGGCTCAGTTGGTAGAGCTGATGCCTCTCAGCAAGAAGGTCACCGGTTCAAATCCCGGTCCGGGGACCTTTCTGGGTAGAGTTTGCATGTTCTCTCCGTGCATGCGTGGGTTCTCTCCGGGTACTCCGGCTTCCTCCCACAGACCAAAAACATGACAGGTTAATTGATAACTCTAAATTGTCCCTAGGTGTGAGTGAGAGAGTGAATGGTTGTTTGTCTTGTTTGTCTCTATGTGTGTCCCTGTGATGGACTTGCGACCTGTCCAGGGTGTACCCCGCCCCTCGCACTGTGACTGCTGGATATGGGCACCAGTGACCCACGCAACCCTGAAAAGGAAGAAGCGTGTACAGAAAATGGATGGATGGATGGATAATCATAAAAAATGTTTTGAAGAAATTTTTGAGCAGTAGCAACAAAAAATTGATTTTTGAGGAAAAACTCCTTTAAACTTTGAGGTTTCCCTCTGAGCTAGCTTTCCAGCTGGGAAATCTCAATATATAAATACTATTTGAGATTTCCTCTTCATAATGAAATGAAAAATTACTCATAAAAATTACATAAAATTAGGATTCAGACTAAATATTCATGCATTATTGTAACCAACAAGGCAATTTAAATTAGACTTTATATGATAAACATATATTTTAACTGTAAAATAAAGACTGTAAAAATTCTGTAGGCTGTTCAGTTTTTATCATTTTTAAAACCAAAAGTTTAAAAATATATTACACGGACGGAGCCATTTTATTTACACGCAAAGCGTTCTGCGAAATTGATGACATCAACTAGATCATCGGCACTAGGCTGCTAGCGAGCTATATCCACCCTGAAGGTTAATCTTGGACAATATCTGATGATCGACTCTTTTAAATGAAACCAGAGAGCGTTGACAGAGAGGAGAAGGTAGAAATGACTCAGCCTGTAACTGAAAATATGGATGGAGGACAACAGAGCTGCTTCATGGAAGAAGAACCTCAGCTTAGCCTGTTAGCTTTAGCGTTAGCCCAGACGCTATCACCATATACACGCATTACCTCAGTGCTACACATTCTCCTCTCGTCACTGAGGTCCTCCACCCACATGACAGAGAGGGGAACACAAAAATGCCTCAGTCTGCAACTGAAAATATGGATGGAGGACCTCAGTTTAGCTTGTTTGTTTGTCACGCTAGCACCAAGCTAATACATATAAGGCAATATATCATGAGGGCTAGCGCAAAGGCTAACAGGCTAAGCTGAGGTTCTTCTTCCATGAAGCAGCTCTGTTGTCCTCCATCCATATTTTCAGTTACAGGCTGAGTCATTTCTACCTTCTCCTCTCTGTCAACGCTCTCTGGTTTCATTTAAAAGAGTCGATCATCAGATATTGTCCAAGATTAACCTTCAGGGTGGATATAGCTCGCTAGCAGCCTCGCACTGAGGACCTAGTTGATGTCATCATTTACCCAGAATGCTTCGTGTGTAAATAAAATGGCTCCGTCCGTGTTAAAATATATTTAAAAAAAATTTACAAAACTAAACAGCCWACAGTATTTTTACAGTCTTTATTTTACAGTTAAAATAAATGTTTATCAAATAAAGTCTAGTCTTACAACTAATAGTGGATCCCTTTAAGTCATATCTCTGGTTCTGTTTATATTAGAATGATCCAGGTATCAAAATGTAGCTTTTAAAGCAGGAATCTGAAAGTGTAATTAGGTCATTTTGACCAAATTTGACTTGATCCTCATTTCAGTGTGATGGGTCACATATTGTCTCATGTAGCAGCTAAACTGCATTTATCTTTAGCATAGGTGCTTTTGTTCTTAAGTTTAGACTTTTTAGATATTTCAGAAACAAACTACCTCCGAAAGTTGTATTAAATCACAACAAAACACAGAATTTAGGCTAACTGGTCACTTTTTTTTCTCTATTTCTAGGTTTAGATCGGCTCAGCTGCAAAGCCTGTCCATCGTTCCTTGTGTTCAGGAACTGCACAGGATGGTGGGATGCCCTGATGAGTTTCCTGTAGATCCAAAGTGATGTGATAATCCAGCTCAGCACATGGTTTCTGRACAAGAAATATGTAAATGACACAAAGGAATTGCCTGTGTTTAAAAGGCGAAGTGATTTATTTGAAATTCTTGTCTAAAAAAAAACTCACTACAGTATTCATATGCAGAGTTAACTAGAAGTGCACTTGGAGACTTTCTTCTGGGGTCTGTGTAAAGAAAGTGATGACCACCAGTTTTCAGTGCAACTCAGCAGAGTAAATAGTGTGTAATGTTAAAAACAGACACATGGGAGAAGGAGAAGTGCTTTAGAATGCAGCTCACTTAAAGTGAACTTYGAATTGTGTGAAAATATCCTTTTAACCATAAGTTATTTAAACTTGGTGTCACATTTAGGTGGTACACTTAAAAAAATGAACTAGATGTTGTGAAGCTTTCCTAAAGTAGCCATGAAAAAAACTCCTTCCTTTTTCCAAACATTACCGTTCTGAGACCGTTCAGTTCAGTTACCAGCTGCAGCAATAGAAATAAGAACAAAATCTAGTTTTCATTTCCAGCTGAGATGTAACAAAAAGGAAATGGCCTTGCTTGTTGCTTTTTGTATATATGGTTGTATGCATTTTTTTTCCAAAGTACTTGAAAATGACTTTGTGTTTTGGTTTTTATAGACTTCTAAAAAAAAGTTATATTGCACTGTTGCTGTTTTTGTCCTGAAAACTTGAACTTTTTCCATAAGAGATGCTAATTTAAATAAAGTCAACTTGAATTGCATAAAAAGCTTGTGTTTTTACAGCGCGTGCAGATTTCTGAATATTCAGAAGCAGCTGGACTCTTCACCAGCCCTGAGCACAGGTTCAAAGGGTCAGTTTGAGTCATGTTGTATTTTATAAAAGACCAGCAAAACTATTCCCTTGACCCATCTCTGCTCGTAATGTCTGCCTAGTTTAAAGACTACAGTACAGTAGTACAGAAAGCTTTGATAGAAACTGTGGCTCTTCATGTAAAAAGTATAWAATTTACTTTATTCATATTTGCTTTTTGCAAAATCTTGATGTGCAAAAACTATTTGCGTGTGTGTTTCTGTGTGTGTTTTGATGTTTTCAATCTAGAMCTCAGAGCAACTGTAAGATGTGTTGCTGTACTTAAACAGCCACAYCTGTGGTTAACAGTATAACAGTTTAGAGTCGGTGCTGTTTTACAAGCTTCAAGTGTTTTTGTTATTATTTTTCCTGGTAATTTCTGAACAAACAAACAAACAGTTCTACATTTTTCTAAAGACCACATAAAACGTTTATTATAGAAACATCAGAACGAACCTACATCCAACTATCATCTATTATGTAGTTCTTTCGATCAAGGTGGACTAAAAACAAAAATTTATAAGGGGCTTGCTGAAAGCTGCATATACACAGGTATACCACCAGGGGGCACCCTCGCCGCACAGTTCAGAATGGACTTCTGGAGTCAGGCTTGAGCATTGTCTCTGGTGAAACAACTGCTGCCATGGTGCTCTGTAGAGCTAAGATTAAACAATTTTTGAATGCTGTTTAGGATTAATAAATGAGAAGCTGGGAGGCTGTTGGCTCATGAGGAGACCTCCTGTGGCGTGAACTTTATTTTTATAGAATATCTATAGCTTTTATGTCAGCTCCTGTCAAATCAGGGTTATTACAGACACTTGTTTCCATGACACTGCACACAGGAACTTATTAATATAGGTTCTCATAACTGTGGCAGCCCACTTATTGWTTTAATTTGTCACCTGGAAGTTTAAGAAGAAGCTGGTGGGCTCATAATGATGTGAAGCGCCTCAACATGACCTTTAAGTTTGCACTTTAAACAATACTTCTTTCTCTTATTCACATCGTGACTCCTGTTAAGCAACGATTGTCAGACTTCTGTACTTTTATTTATTTTTTTTATATCGGTTTGACTTTTTCCTGATTCCATCACCTTAAAGTTCAGCCGTGGGCTGAAAAGGTTAAATAATAAGAATGAATGTAAAACCAAACTCCTGCAGCTTTAGGAACATTTTTAACCATCTTCTGATTGTTGTGGCCTTATGTTGTGATGTGTTGGGAATATAAGCCTCAAGGGCTTTATTTCCTTGAAGATTGTGCTAAAATAACATGTCCAAATGGAATTACTTGCATTATACAGTAAATAAACCTTTTAAAAATATCACAAATAAGGCTTACAGTGGGGAAAATAAGTATTTAGTCAGTCACCAATTGTGCAAGTTCTCCCACTTAAAAAGATGAGAGAGGCCTGTAATGGACATCATAGGTAGACCTCA